TCTTCTTCTTCTTCTCCTCTCATTCGACAGCTCTATTTCAGCAAACACTCCTCATCCAAAGTCTGCCCATCCTCCACCAATCTTCTAATGGTATTTACTCTCCTCCTTGTGTTTGCTATCTGGTGAGAAAAGCTTGTGTTTCTATGCCTTCAACCTTTTAATTTCTCCATTTGCCTCCACTTTGTCTCTTCTTGGAAAACAACTTTAAAAATAATTTCTTGGCTTCCCATCTTCTAAATCTATTTCCATCCAGGATTGGGCACATCTCCTCCCTCCTATTCATTTCTGGTGACCTTTAAAGCTTCAGTCTTTGAGTTCTTTGCTGGCCGAAGTGTCTCAACTCTCCATGTCTTTTTTTCCTTTCAGCATATGAAACTTCTTGGCTAATTTGTGAGAACTCATGCCTTTCATCTCAAAAGATCCCCACATCCTTTTAAAAGGTTCTCAAATCCAAAAAGGAGCAGTTCCATGTTCTGGAACCGAACACCCTCCCAAAGAGAAGAGCAGTTCCATATTCTAGAAATTACTCATTTATTGTTGGGTAGGATCTTTAATTGTTCTTTTTTAAGGAATGGTACATACTCTGTATGGGGTCTATCAACCAGATAGTTTTAACACCAAACTGCACGCATGTCTCATAGTCTATAAAACTAATTGAAACTCCATGTTGGACATCAAAATAGATATGGTATTTCTGTCAGATACTTTATTTTTAAATGTAGACAAATGCTTGTAGTGTAGCAATGGGTAGTATGTTATGCCCTGATGGGCAAGATAATTATACTTCTGCAATTACTAGTGTGTGTACTCATTATCAAAGGTTTTTATATATAATTATATAAATAATGACATCCCCAACTGTAATATTGTTTTAGGACACAGAGATCATTGAGCAGATTGACCGGGATGTGAGACGTACTCATCCAGACATGCACTTCTTCTCTGGGGACTCATCCTTTGCAAATTCTAATCAGGTGAACTGTTTTTGCCATGACACCTGGCTTAGACATTATCACTTTGACCAAGTTAAATATAAATTTTTCTTATATTTCAGGAGGCTTTGAGAAATATATTAATTTTATTTGCAAAGTTGAATCCGGGTATAAGATATGTGCAAGGGATGAATGAAGTTTTGGCACCTCTTTTCTATGTATTCAAGAATGATTCTGATGAAAAAAATGCAGTAAGTTAATTTGGTCCTTTGAAGCCCCTTTTCCTTCATTTCTTTTATTGCCAACTTGAATGTGCATTATGTAGCAAACTTGTAGTTGATTTCCTAGAGATATGGCCAATGTCCAAGAAATGATGTTCAATGCGTTCTTTAATCCAATTTCCTAACAAGCATAGCATAAGAATATTTTCTTGTGACCTATAAAAGAAAGAATATTTTCATGTGATTTTCCCTTGTTGTTTTGTATATCAGTCAAGAAGACTTATTATCTACAAAAAGTTTTTTCTCTTGATCAAAGCCTTAATGATGCATGCGAGGAAAACAAAGAATTATTGGAAGAAGAAATCAACATTCTTCATATTCTTGAACCAATAGCAATTTCATAATCTTTAGTGATTCAAATTTTTAGTATTTTAATATTTTTAATTTGCTAGTGTCTTAGGAATAGAGTTAAGTGTCGGTTTCCTAGAAATTTATTTATTTTTTGATCAACAAGAAAATTTATAGTGTATTATTATGTGAAAGAAAAATTACAGTAGAGTGGTTATCCAACCACCCATTGACACAGTGGACAATGATTCAAAGCCCTGGATGGAGAGAATTACAATGATGTCCAAAGCATCTGCTGTCTAAAGACCCATTGTTTTGCTAATGTGTCAGACAAACCATTTACAGTTCTCCTTACCCAAACAAAAGTAGCATTCAAATCTTTTGAGAGGCTATCTACTTCCCTTAGGGAATGCCTGAAAATCCAAGGCACATGGTGTCCCAAAGTAATCCAGGATACAACCAATTTTGAATCCTCTTCAACTTTATTTGTAATAACCTTTTGGCTTACCATTCGTAATGATTCTTCTAATTACTATTTATAGTGAAATTTGTGATTTTTAGTAATATATTGTGTCTTTACAATAAGTTAGTTTTAGTAGGGTTAGTAATGACAGTCTTCCTAGTCGTACCAGAATTAAGGGGTGTCTAGAATGAATCAGTCAACCCCACCCCAAAAGGTCTATATTAAAGAGAATATGTTATGTGTAATTACAAAAGTGTCCTTACTGGGCTGAAAGAAAACAAAACAATAAAAATGATATATTTAGTGTACAACAAGGGCTATAGGATGAATCAAATCTCTTTACACTCCTCAAACTGATGTAGAGTTATATGGAGGCGGAAATCAAGAGAAACTTGGCTAAAAGAGGGATATAAGAATACTGCCTTCTTTCATGCTCAAACAAGGGGTAGGAGGAGAAATAGTTTCATCTGTAGATTAGAGGAGGAAAATAGAATCATTGATGATCCAAAAGAAGTGATTGAGGAAATTTGGAATTTTTATATCAATTTGTACAAGGCTACCCCTAGTAGATAGGTTTTCCTGGGTGATGTAGATCTGGGAAAGATTAGGGAGGGTTTAAGGGACTGATTGGAAAGGGAGTTTGATGGGAGGGAAGTACAGGAAGCAGTAAATATTATGAAGGATGACAAGGCTCCAAGTCCAGATGCTTTCAATATCTCTTTCTACAAGTGCTGTTGGCATGTGCTAAAAGAGGATGTATTGAGGATGGTGAATGAATTTTAGTAGGAAAAGATCATTGAATCTAACAGTTTGACTCCTAAGACTATTATGAGTCCAACTCTAACTGTTTGACTCCTAGGATTATTATGAGTTTAGAGTCTATAAATATGTATGGACGTTTTACACAAAGGCAATGAAATATATTGAGTTTTCTTCAGCTTATGCTAGCTATGGTGAGTGATTCCCATGCCCTAGAGTGATTCTAGGCACTCTGTGAGTGATCCCAGGTATTTTCTCTCTTATTTCTCTCCCTATTTTCTCTCTTATTCCTTCAAGAAGCCATTACAGCCATCAACAGCCATAAAACTCTTATCAATAAGAACATTCAACATTCTCTAAGGACTAGAACTGAGCTGGTCCTACATCAGTTTGGTATCAGAGCCAAGGTTATAGGTTGTTATCATCATGGCTACATGTAGTGGCAAGCAGTACAGGGGTCGACTGATTGATACACAAAGATTCATTGATTTCTACCCTTTGGAAGAAAGTTGAAACCCTTGAAGCACAAGTAAAAGAACTTCAAGAAGATAAAGAAGAAGAAATCCAGCAAGAAGCACCTCTAATCAATGAAAGGGATGGAGGACGAAATAATGGAGTTATCCATGAAGATGATAATGGTGAAGATGAAGGATTTGTTAATCCTAGAGGACAACAAAGAGCTGCAAACTGCACAAGGGTACCACTTGCACAAGCTAATCGAACCGAAATACCCATCAAGGGATTGATCAAGAAGCATCACTCACAAATCTATTTGATGAGATGATGGAACAAGCTGAAAATGGTGGTTATGCAGATGATATAACCAAGAAGGTAAAGGTGGATGTTTTTGATTCCAATGAAGATTTAGACCCTCAATCTTTTTTAGATTGGCTGGCTGTACTAGAGGAATATTTGGATTGGTATGACATGACTAATGATCGGAGGATCAGATTTGCACGTATGGATCTTGGTGGTCATGCTAAAGTATGGTGGAGAAGCATGGAGCGACGATTAGAGAATAGAGGTGGTGCTCCTATTCTTACATGGTCAGGAATGAAGAAACATTTGAGAGACAAGTACCTCCCTATGGACTTCCAAGATGAGTATATGAGGAATTGACTAACCTCAAGCAAGGTACGCTATCTGTAGTTGAATACATGCGTTAATTTGATGAATTACCTATTAGATGTGATACTACTGAAAGTGAGAGGCAAAAGTTGGCTCGATTCAAGAATGGGCTACGGGTTGAAATCAAGAAAGAGATGGTAACTGTTCGAGTCTTTGACTTAGAAGATGCCTACCAAGTTGCTGTCAAAATTGAGAAGAGTTTAAAGCAAACAAATACAAGGCAATTTGCATCACAAACCGGGGAGGATGCAGCTCGTAAGAAAGCTAATGGGGGAAAGACTTCTAGGCCAGCATATTCTAATGCCAGCTCTAATAAGCCTAGTGGGTCTAGACCTTATCAAGGGGCTGACTATAAGAGTGAATCAGTTGCTAGTGGTGTTACTCAGAAAAAACAGCCTGATACTAGTTGTTTTAGATGTGGAGGAAAGGGCCATATATGGCTTACCAATGTCCTACCAAAAGCCTTAATATCATTTATGAAGATGGCATTGAAGTGATAGGTGACCCAGGTGATGACTTAGTTGAAGAAGAGGATTATTCTTCACTGAATATGATGCTTTAGATGAAGACAACAAATATGTTAGTGTAGTTCGGTGTATTCTTACATCCCCAAAGGAAGAAATCAAGGAAATTGGCTTCGTACACAATATTTAAAACTATAGTAAAGGGTGGAGACAAGTATTGTAAGCTCATCGTAGATGGTGGCAGTAGTATGAATGTGATTTCTGAAGTCACTGTGGATCAGCTAAAGTTGACACCACAACCATACAAGATTGCTTGGGTTGATAAGACAACAATTCCGGTAACTAAACAAGCCCTTGTGACTATTTCTTATGGTAGTTATTCTGAATTCTATTTGGTGTGACATTGTTCCTATGAATGTTACACACATATTGCTTGGAAGGCCTTGGTTGTATGATAGGGATATCTACCATTGTGGAAGGGAGAACACCTACCACTTCCTATTTAATGGGAAGCGAGTTATTATGAAGTCAATGCCACCAGAAGTTATTAAAAGGCATGCCAGACCACCTCAAAAGGAGACTACAACTAGACTTGTTCACGGGCCGGGCTTCGGGCCTGACTTACACTATGTCAGGCTCAGGCTTCAGGCCAGGCCCCATCCAAATTTTGGCAAAAGCTAAGCCCGAGCCTGGCCCATGAACAGGTCTAACTACAGCCCAAGGGCCCATTGCTGAATCTAAGAGAAAAACATTGCATTTGCTCTCCAAAAAAGAGTTTGAAATAGAAAGCAAGGATACAGGAGTTGTATATGTTGTAATATCCAAGGAGGTAAAACAACCAAATGTTGTTCCACCTATTGAAATGCCTAAAGAAGTGGTCCAAGTATTGGATGGGTTTTCAGATTTGGCACCAGAAAAGCTACCTAATGAGTTACCGCCCATGAGAGACATTCAACATGCTATTGATTTGCAGCCAGGGTCACAATTGCCCAACTTACCAGCTTATTGTATGAATCCTATAGAGCAAGCTGAACTTAAGACCTAAAGAAATGTTTTATTGGAGAAAGCCTTAGTCCATATGCTGTTCTAGCTCTTCTCACTCCAAAGAAAGATGGTTCTTGGTGTATGTGCATTGATAGTAGAGCAATCAACAAGATTATTATCAAGTATAGGTTCCCAATTCCTAGGCTTGATGACATGCTTGACATGATGACTGGAGCGACCATTTTTTCTAAGGTCGATCTAAGGAGTGGCTATCATCAAATACAGATTAGGCCTGGTGTGGTGATAAGTGGAAGACATCATTTAAGACAAAATCTGGCTTATATGAGTGGTTAGTTATGCCATTTGGACTAACCAATGCCCCTAATACTTTTATGAGGATGATGACTCAAGTACTTTGATCCTTCATTGGTTGTTCCCTGGTTGTTTATTTTGATGATATTCTTATATATAGCCATAGTCCAGATTCTCTAGAAGAGCATATTGATTATCTAGGTGAAGTGATGAGAGTTTTACGCCAAGAGAAACTCTACATCAACTTAAAGAAATGCTCTTTCATGTCACCTAAAGTTTAATTTTTGGGGTTTGTTGTTTCTGCTGAAGGCACAAGTGTTGATCCCGAGAAAGTAAAGTCTATCTTAGGTGGCCCCTACCTACTAATCTTCAAGAGGTTAGAAGCTTCCACGGCCTTGCAACTTTTATAGAAGATTTATTAAGGGGTTTAGCACTATCATGGCTCCAATAACAGATGGAACTAAAACAGGTGAATTTAATTGGACCAAGGCAGTGAAAGAATGGTAGGATCCATCTAATGGACGCCATAAAGGTTG